AGGTAGCAGTTCCTCTCTTATACATGCTTCCTTAAATATGACTGACAAGTTACTGTGATTAACCTTTATTTTACTCAATTTTTTGTGTTTGTATAAGTGATTTTTTTCTGGACATAAAGTGTGTAAATACTGCCGAAAGTTCGATATATGCGAGCGATTTTGAATATTCTATTAGCCATGATCAAGGATGATGTTTTTTTTTGTTGTTTTTTTTAGCTGAATATGTAGATTTATCCTTACGTGTATCTATAGTGATGGGTCTGTTTTACTTCTATTTATTAAATACGGTCAGTACATGGTGGCTGTGTTCATAGTTGATGTTACTGAGTGTTGGCGTTTTCTTTTTTTTATTGTTATTGCTTCCATTATTTTTATACATTTTTTTTACTTATGGCTGAGTATTTATTCTTGTATTTTCTACGAGTATGTTGCTATATGTTGCCTATATAATTATTTACGAATTTTGATTGATCAGGAGTACAATTCCTTAGTGGGCATTTAAATTCGTAAATAATATTTGCCCTATTAAATTTTGTTCTAGTGGGTGAATTATTTTTAACTATAAGTTTAGAGGTTTTAAATTTTTAGTAATAAATAATTAATCTAATGATTTTGCTATTGTCAACTGGTGTTAGCCAATTTTTAATAATGTTCTTAATTCTGCTTTCATCTTGTTTATAATTTTCGTTCATCCAATTTTTATAAAAAATATTAATGCTATTGTTTATGTTTCTATTCTCGCAGTTGCTATTATAATTCGTAAATAATTATATAGGCCACACTACAACATGTTTGACACGCAGACTCACTCTACACCTTTCTGACCATAGCTCAATTCGATCTCATATAAATATTCATGGATACCTACCGAACACTATTCGTAACATACTTGTTGACAACACTAATATAATAGCATCATCTACATGCAAAAAAAAGGCTAAAAATAATGGAAGCTTTATTAATAAAAACAAAAATAAACAACACTTAATAATATTAGCTTTTATCATGGACAGAATATCGTGTTGACCGTGTTTTGAAACAATGAAAACATTTTATAACACATATATACAACAAACTATTTCGTATTTAACAGTTAAAACTTTAATCCTTGAAAATGGCTAAATGTATAGCCGAAAGCGCTCGGATAAAAAGAACATTCGGACAGTTTTATATAATTTATCATCCGAAAAGAAAAAAATTATTAGATCGCATAAGAAATTGTATAAAA